TGTCGAGACGCGTAAGGCCAGCGACTCGTCTAAGAAAGCCCATTTCAGCAGCTTGTACCCGGGTTAGAAGCATTTGAGTCATGGTCCACGACTCATGACCATAAGTACGCCTTAGGATACAGATCGACTTGAGCACTGAGACCTTAGTTTTCAGACTGAGCTCTGCTTTAGTCACAGTCGGTCGTCCTGATTCACGCAGAACGCCAATGGCTACTCCAATTCGCCGGTCGATCTCTTTCTCAAATTTTCCATCACTAGTAAATACAGTTCTGAGGTACTTGAACTTCTCCACCTGCTCCACTGCCTCTCCGTTATTCTGAAGAGAGCAACGGGCAGGAGAACGAGAAAGCAGTAGGCTTTTCGTTTTGAAGAAATTTTTGAAGGGCCAAAATTATGAAGAAAATGAAATAACATATTGCGAAAAGCTTATTTCAAGTATAAAAGGATCAAATTATTTCTTATCACGTATTACAGCGTGACAAAGGAAGCAGCACTTAATGAAGTGCGTAGGTTTTTTCTCATTTGTTCATCCTGTCTGTGTTTTCAACTATGTTTGCTACCTGGATCTTAGTTCTATCCACACCTTTGGCAACTTCTGAACGATGTGGCTCCTAGCTATAATGTTAATTATGTTACAACTGAACAATTTTCGTCTTTTCACCTTATACTTTCCCGTAACCTATTTTTACCATTCTCGTTGCTTTTTCAATGCATATCCTAACTTAAGAAATCAAATACATGCATATGGTAGATCTTTCTCTGGAATCATTAAGATTGCATATCTTTTGAGTCATAGTAATTTATTTAAATAATGAATTAAAATATTTAAATTTAATGGTTTTCTAAATTCATTCAATTTGATGCAAGTGTCTTCATCAAACTTGTGATGGAAGACAGACTCATTACTTGAATGAGACCATTTATTCTTTGCTTTGGTGCGTGCTTTAACAAATTCTTTGCAGGTAGAATGCTTTCCCGGTGTGAGAACTCTGCTGGTGGAACTAGCTACAAAGCCTTTCCTTGTTCGATCCTTATGCACTCAGATTCAAGTGTGCGAGAACGAATGGATTTAAGAAAATTAATTAACTCTGGCGATCGATCGATTTCAATGGATGAGTGTCGATTCAAAGAAACCCACTTCTTTCATATTGCAATTTTGCATCCCACCAGTCGCAAGTTCCTGCGCCAAAATCGATTGGTGTATTCTTAAGGAGTTCCGAAAAAGCTTTTGACTTTCTCGAAGCACTACGATCGTTTCAGCAAAGATTCGCACCCCTCTCATACTGGATGTCATTCAGCTACGTACCCTTGGCCTTACTAACGTAGTCAACTTCAACACCCGTGGTGATGCACCTTTTGACCTCCCCCTCACAAGTGTTCGTAGTCGGCTCTCTGCCAGACGGTTCCTACCAATTGGAACTACCGATCACTCTCTCATTGGTTTACTCCCATGTCTGTACTCAAAATCTGAGAAATGCCTGCTGACCAGTTGGATTCATTGTAAGAACATACTCGACACCTGCAATGCGAACATGAACAACATAAGTGCCACCCTTGCTTCCACTCACTGGCATGCCTTCGAGGACGATCACGTTACGAAGCATGTATCCAGGCTGTCATCCTATCTCAACTTTGTTTCCGACAACTGTTGCCAAGAAGAAAAAATCCTTGTCACCAAGAAACAGTTGACCAACCGATATCTCATACGCTCATGCCGGAAAAAAGAACGATCTTTCCGTAAGGGGTATTATTCTCAATGTAACAGGATTTGAAGTTTGATTACAAGTGAGATCCAAGAGCCCAATCTTTCGCTTTCTCAGCGGCTTTTGATTTCATTACATCAAAGAGATGCATGATCCGGCGTTAGATCATAAACAGGGTATGGACACGTGACGATTACTACGTCGTTTGACCGCGATGCTATCGATACCGCGTTTCTGGGAAACGGAAACAGGAGACCACTCTAATTCGTTTAAAATCTGGGTGCCACTGGAGAAGAATGTGACTTCACTTCCAGTCTTCACAAGTGATCACGTATGTCGATGCTCTTCCCGATTAAGAGCAAATATCGCCACAGGTCCCGATGATGTAAGAGCGGTTGTTTTAAAGTGTTGCTCAACAGAACTGGTTCCATGTTTTCTTCTGTGCAAAGACTACGAGAAGGTCACTTTCTGGAGGTATGGAGACTCTCCAGGATGGTTCCCATTCCTAAAACTCAACATCCGGCGGGGTCAAACGACTTTCGTCCAATCACCATTTCATCCACACTATTGAAAACAGTGGAAATGTTGCTTCTACCCTTCATAAAGAATAACATCTCTGTCTTTGAGGATCCCTGGCAGTTCGGTTACAAAAGTAATTGCTGCACTTTGGATGCTCAACCTCCCTTGTTGACCTTGTGGGCAGGAAATTCGACCAAGCGGATTGATTCATACGAAGCCTTCTGTTCAACTACAGCTCCAGACTGAACTGCGTTCGAACGGCAGACGTATTAACAGAATTGTCCTTTTTTGGGCTTAATCCTTTCACACCACGAAATTTGCCTGTATATCTCTCCCACAAGAAATAGTTTACGACAATTGGCAAACAAAATCATCCATTCGCAGTAACAACACAGAAGTTCTCCAGGGTTAAGTATTATCACCAGTTCTGTTTGCATTTCACATGAACAGTCTTCCATTTCTCGAAAGCCATTATCCTGCACATAAAGTACACGAACCATACAGCTGTTATACGTTCGGTCGCGTCCACTGGCGAACAGCATGCCTACGATTTTATGATTAAAGAAATACCGTCGTGGTCACCTTCCCATGGACTGATTTTCAACCCATCAAAATGCACGGAATTACCTTTTTCCACATCATCCTCAAATAATTTTTCATCAACCGTGGCTGCTCAACGAACAGCTGCAGTGAATTCACACCCGTTAATCGTTGTGACTCAGAAGTACCTCAGCCTCTCACCATCAGAAACAACCTCTCTTGGTCTGGGTGTGTTAAAAGGGTGATCGGTGAAGACCCATAAGTTGTGCTACTTTTTACGTAGCCCTCGGCAGGTCCCAAAGTTATGCAAAAATTTGTTTCCACTTGTGTGCTTCCGATAATAACTTACGGTGGTTCGGTGTTCTTCCCAGCTCTTCACAGGGAAGATGCCGTCCTACTGTGCCGCTGCATCAAGCAAATTTCCTGAACCAGTGGCATCGATATGAAACAGCTAGCGACGAAAACAATAAAGCAAAGCGCTTGGAATATAAGTTCTCTCAAATCCTGCTCATCCATCATATCTGATGGTTTAGTATGCTCTCAGTCAAGACGGCAGGACGCTCGAACAAAATATATCCTCCTCCCCACTCGAACTCAAATGTACCGAAGGTCAGTGGTTCCATTCATCGCTCGCTCGTTTGCTAACTCCTCGGCGCTTGAAGAAAATTCTTCTGTCACTTTTTCCTGAGTGTAATGTACCAGGTCGAATTCCTTATATATTAACGTACAGTCGTCAGCATCTGTTTATTTCTTATTTGATTCTTATGTTATGATACAGTTCTTGGCATAAACAAGTAAACAGTTACAATGATCACACTTACTGACGATGCAACGTTTAAGAACTACATATTGCCTGAGGAGAGAATTCGATCACGTAACAGTCCCAAAGCAAACCACGTGCAAACGAAAATGAAGTACCTTATGGCAGTGACCATGGCATGGACCGCACAGGTTAATGCAGTTTTGACTCCGGAGCTGCGGGATTCGTTTCCACTTGAGGGCAATCTTTGACTTATTCATCATTTCCCTTGAGCAAGGAATTTTCCACACATTACTTCGGTAGAAAGTTGAACTCAGAACCAATAGGTCCCGAGTTCAAGCTCCAGTTGGGGTCATTCGTCCTTCTACCTTCACAGGTTAATAAATGATTATCACTCTGTGGAACAAAAGCACACGAGATTACACTCTACGCTTGCCATTGGTGGTAGATTCTGCCTTTAAAAAAAATAACACCCTTCTGGCTGATGGCACAGAAACGGAGTTCAGCACCGCACCATCAGTTTCATGAAAAGAAGGGCCCAGTCATGAAAATAACGGAATACTGATATTCCAATATTAACCAACTTTTCTTTCCAATTACAGTCTTCATATAGTTGCTTTTCTTCACGTGACAATGCACCACTAGCTGTGTCGTTGCTAAGCAACGTCATGTCCGTTACCAGCACCGTAGCTCTGCATCATAATTGAAGCTGAAGACATGTGTTTTCGATATGCGATATTGAACATTCGTCCTTTGATAATCTTAGTGGTATTTGCTGATTTGACACTCTTCAGCGGTACGTAAAGTTTCTCATGATCTTTTTTGAAAGGGTTGACCATTTTCAGTCCTTGTATGTGGTCAGAACTCCGTCCTTGGCCAGGAAGCAAATGATTGGACGACGACCGAGTTTGAACCGACGGATAAGTGGCTGACGGCGGAGGACGAATTCGGTGTCACTCGTGGAGATTACGAAAGGTAACTGTGCAACGAGACGACAAGGTCTATTTAGTTGCCTTTGTTAGGTCAGAAGGCAGAAGCTGCTTGAGACGAGATTTGGTGTTCGTCAACAACTCACCGGTCGCTACCGAGCTGGTCAACAACGACTTGTTTTGCGTCGTATATGACAATTCGAAAGTTGAGCAGTTTTACGAAGAGTTCAGTCCTGCTGTGACCCTGGAAAAGTTCGCAGAATATGAAAACAAGCGACGTTTCCGTACGGTTGATTATCTACGTAGCGAGGACACGGTTTCCCGTTATGGCCAGCAATACAAGGTACGAAATTCCCAGTTCCTAGCTTCAACGAAAGATGAGTAAGGAATTAAGTTTAGACAGGTGATCCGGTGTTGATCGTTCCGGACCATGGAGTTGTCACCGAATTGCCGCTACCTCATCCTTCAATCGCAAGTACCTGCAACTACAGGGCGCCGGCAAGTATGACATTTTCGGTATATCTGTAAAAAGTAATAGAAAAGTCGATGGTAGAAATTTTTCGGTAATGAGAGCATTGATCTCCTAATACCTCAGTGGTAAATCTATCTTAGCAATAATTTGCTCCAGATGAACTGAAGACCATCGCTTGTATTTGTCTCTGAAGAAATATAAGGAGAGCGAGGCGATTTATTTTCATCGTTCGTTCATATTCGTATTTAGAAGACGACTGTAATTCAGTCCTGTCTTTCTAGTGTTTTGCCAACCTGTTCAACAATGTGGTACAAACAATTGAGATAACCGACTTCTGTATATTTTTGTTAGGGTACATATGCAAGGAATTTTCTCACCTTCAGCTGTAATTCTACATAGCCACATATCATTTCATATCGTGTGTAAACTACATATGACATCTATGGACGGTGATGACAGATGGAAAAATTTCTTCCTTGCCGTAATCTGCTGGCCCAATCAGTTCCCAGAATTATGCACATTCTATTTGGTCGTCCTTTTCCTTCGCACAATTCGCCCTGGAATGCGGAATTGGATGTAGTAAGAAGACGATGGCGGAAGTAGACACACTTTTTGCGTGTGGTTCTACCAAATGCTCACGAAAATAAAGAGCGGTCACAACTGAGGGTAAGAGGTTGCCAAATGTATATGTTCAGGAGCATAAGTAGCCCCCGATTGGTTTTGTGTGATCTAAAAACCACTCAAGAGATGTGAGTTGTTTTGCATATACTCATATACTCTCTCATGCTGTAAATGATTTGGTCATTGATCTGTGTCCCCTGTGACGGAAGAATCCGGGATTTGATTATGTGTTTATATCCAGAGCAGAAGGTGACACAAATGGCAATGAGCCAAAGTGAACAACAACAAAACAACAGGGGTTATATCTTCCGCTCATTATCACATTTAAATGGGTAGTTATCAGACAGGTTAAGGATAATTTGCAGCCCTATGAAGCGCTCGCATCAGGCAACATGGCCATATCCTTCGTCCATTCCAAGGACCCAAACAATATGCTGCATACGGGTCGCTCGGCAAGGCATAATATCGCCATTTTGTTAGCTCTTTCCCCTTGCACTTGATTGATATTGATGGTCTTTCAATTACAGTGTTTACAGAGTGAAAAGAGCATATATGTCATGTATGATATATTAGAATGACTTTGCTTCAATCCCAAATTCGCCTTTTACAAACGTTCCTGTTTATAGAGACGTTATTTTATTTATGATAACAGATAAAATCGGTAAGCAGCGGTTTTTTAGGCAGAAAATCCTTCGCAGTTTACACAGTATTCTACAGTA